AAAAAGTAAAATAGGAAAGTCATTGATATCCATCAAATGTCACGAAAATCACTTTGAAAAGGTGACCATTGCCTATCTTTATTTATTTATTTATTTATTTGTAGTAACATCAATTTTCGTAGCCAAAAGAGTCGTTACCAATGACAGTTTCAGGATTCAAAAGTTGGTTGGGCCAAACTTACATACTAACTTGACGGTACAAGTGAATTCATTAATAATATTAAAAAATACACCTAGTCAGGGAGGACATAATGAGCATATACCCTCAAATGTATATCTATCCATAAATAAAAGTTCAACAAATACAAAAGCTAAAACTAAAACCAAAAGTAAATGCAATGCAATATAAAACCACACTATTTAAATTTAAAATTTAACCCTGTGAGGCTCGGAACTCTTAAATTCCTCAATTATTGATGCATTATCGATATTATTAGCAAACTCTCTTTCAATGTGAAGGATCATTCAGTCAACAAGAATTTCATTAGCTATGGTGCTTCAAAGTCAATTCTTAATAATATCATACATGAGAAAGCTCGTTCTGTTGTTACTGCAGAAACAAGAAGAGTCAACACCAACCAAATCAATCTGTCAAGAAAAAAGTTGTTTCCACCAAGTGTTGACATAAAACAAGGAAGAGTAGTGGTTTCCCTAAAGCAAGGAAGGCGATGTATGTCATTTTGAAAATATCTGAGCTTTATTTCTAAAGCTTTCAACTCATGTGGAAGGAAATCAGTGGGATATAATTCTTGGCAAGTTTACATATGTGCTCAATATTAAATGACTTGAAGGAATTACGATGATCCAATGATGAGCTAAGGGTAAGAAGTTCAACGGTTTGCTCCAGAAATCTATCATTTAACTCCCTCAACATGCAATCTATAACATCATTAAATACATCAACGCGACATGCATGCTCAATTGTAATAACATCTTTTTGTTGACAAGAACGACGTCTGGCTGTCATATAACGACCACTCATATCAAGAATATCAACACCATGTAGTTCACAAAATGATACCACACTCATGAATAAATCATCTCAACCATGTTCCTTCATATCTTGAAGCTACATTTTAGTGTTTTCAACAAAATTTAAAACACTTATAATGTCTGAGTTTTATTTGAAATGCTTGACAAAGAAAATTGGTCAATCCCATAATTTTATCCATCAAAACCAATGCAAACACAAACTCAAAAGACATCATAGCAATATAGTTACTTTCTGCATCGCAACGAAACTGTTGGTTAGGTCCATGATCACTGATTTCCAAAAGAAGTAATTTAGTCTCTTTAAATAAACCCATCAAACTTGTAATAGAGGCAAAATGAGAGCCCTAACGAGTGGCTCCAGCTCGTTTCAAAGTACAAGCTTGATGAAGTCTTCTACCTGTCTCAAGTTCCCCAGAATCCAACAACTCTTCAAGTTCAGCTTTTCAAATTAAGTTTAATTATTACAACGCTTAGCAGAAGCACTAACAAAATTCACAATGTTAGTCAACATTAAAAAAAATATACATACAACTTTCACATCTTAGTTGCGCCATTTAATGCTAATTGCAAGCAATGAGCAAATCAATGCACATAATATGCATATGGAAAATTTTGAAGAAACAATGCTTGTAATCTATTCCATGAACCACACATATTGCTAGCACCATAATACCCTTGACCATGCATATTCTCCACTATAATATCATTATTACCAAGCACTTTGTACATCTCATTTTTAAGAATCAAGGCATTAGTGTCTGCAACACTCACAATATCGAAAAATCACTCACGAATAAATCCATCACAATCAACAAATATTAGAATAATAGCCATTTTTTCTTTACCGATTCATCAAGTAATTCATCAACAATAACACAAAATTTGTGCTTCCCAAGTTCTCTACAAATTGTCTTTCTCACCTTGGTAGCAAAAATATGCAAGATTTGTTTTTGTATGTCACTGAAAATGTACTGAGCATTTTGAAGAGCCTTATCTAGGACAACTTTCTCAACTTATATATCATTCTTGCAAAAGACCTTATTATTTCAATGAAATTGCCCCGATTAGATGAGTCAACGGATTCATCATGGCCTCGAAAAGCCATGCTTGATTTGCTAGATACCTAATGCTCTATCTTGTGGTCGTAAGTCACAACTAATTGTCTATCACTTGTTGCTTTAATTGCTTATCTACTACTTTTTCAATATGAAGAGATGGGGTTTTAAAGCTAATCCACTTTTCCATAGCAAGATTATGTGGTGAATTAATTGGCTTGCCTACATGATGTTGAAATGCACATTGATTCCCACCAATTCTCTTCCATCTCTTATACCCATCAATAATAAAGGTTGTGTGTGACTGATTCATGTCAAAAAGAAAGCAAGGAAAACAAAATACTTTATTCTTAGTAACTGAATACTCAAGCCAAGTGAATTGGCCAAACCATTTTTTATTAAATCAACGAAAGTCTCACCCTTCTGAGTGGCTTGGATAATCTTCTCATTCGGGTTATATGGTCCTAAAATAATATATGTTCTTCGCACATTATCTTGTTCATTCACCAGATATTTGCATATTAAACGACGTAATGTTGGATCACACTCAAGATAATTGATATTAAAATCATGATCATCATCGACTCTTTAAGATTCAACTCTTTCAACTGAAAGCTCGACAATGGGATACTCAGGAAGATTTTGCTCATCACATATTGGAGTAGATAAAGAAGTGCTAGAAGGAAATGTTAAATGATGACCCATCATTCTTTTTCTTAAAAAAAGACAACAAATTCTTTGTTCTCTTGGGATTTCAATTGTGATCCGACATAATAAAAGATAGCCTATGAATAATATGTAGAAAGAATTTTAATCAAACATACCAACAAAAAATCAAACAATTTTTCATAATAGCATCTCAAAAATACCAAACCAAAAATTATAATTCATCCATAATTAAACTCTACAATACTCAATTTTAATAAAATCCCAACCAAAGCCCTAGAATAATTCATCCCTAATTCATCCCTAATTAATTTCAACAAAATCCCAAAATTATAATTCGTCCCTAATTAAACCCTAGAATACTCAATTTTAAATTAAAACTATAATTAAAGATATATAGCAAAGGAGAGAATGAGAATAATACTTCTTGTTGACAAACGGAGAGGAGAAGATGTTGTTGCCAAGTTGCCCACCCGTTTGTCAACAAGAAGTATTATTCTCATTCATTCTATTCGAAAACCGCAATGAAGCGATTGATGCCGGAGCACTGCTCCGGTGTGAATATTTTGCACCATTTGATAGAGGCATAGGCCACCAGCATTGCAAAGTATAGCGGGACAATTTCACGGGTGACTTTGTAGAAATCTTGTTGTTGTTATCATCCATAATAGAATATGTAGCCAGAGAGAGGAGAATTTGCGCCCCCCCCCCCCCCCCCCCCCCCAAAAAAAAAGTGGGAGAAACTTGCTGTTGTCAGGTAGAAAAGAGAGATAGAGAGAAACAAGAAGCCTAATAGCCAAGAAAAGAGAGAGAGAGAGAGAGAGAGAAGAGATATGGGACCACATGGATGGGCAACATCTGTAAGGTTTGCTATTAATTGAGATATTTAGTCGTATACCCATTCTTAGCACTAATAATATAGATAAACCCTACACAATTTAAAATCTATAAACAAACAAAAAAAAACACAAAAAATAACAGGTGGCCCTATTGTATTTAATTTTAATTATTAAATTACTTTAATACCCTATTGAAATTTTTGGGCTTTTTAAAGAGATTTTGAGATTGAGTTTGTTTTAAGAAATTAATGGTAGTTTTGTAATTTAAAAGAAATTAAAAGCCTTTTGTTATATTGTAAATGGATTTTAGGTGTGTTTCTAAAATCCATTTCATATTAGTTTTTTTATTATTTATAATTTAAGCTCCTATATTGAGTATAATAATGAATCTCCTTTTAATTTTTTTTAATTTTGAGTTGGGCTTATAGGGATGTTTTTTTTTTTTTTTTTTTTTTTTTTTATTTAAATAAAAATTTGGGTTGGGTAGGCCCTGTGCATATCACCGTCCTTGAGTCTAACTCAATTGAAAAAATCCATTACTTACAAATGGTCTCATGTTCGAGCTCCCATAACATATTGATAGATATATGTGAGAAACCATCTTCTCCATGTAATTTAAATTATCACTTGTAGTATAAAAAAAGGCTTATTTACTATAGCGCCCCCTGAAACTTTGGTCAAATCTCACTTTATCATCTGAAATTTAAAATGACTCACTTTGCCCCATTGACCGATGTTTTGCATCTCAATTTACCCCCCACCGTCAAGTCAGTCAAAAACTCTATTAGAAATGCTGACGTGACAAGAATGGGACCCATAATTTTGTTGAATTGGATGCCACGTAGGTGCCAAGTGTAAAAAATAAAAAGAAAGATTTTCTTTTAAAAAAACTTAACTCAATTATTAATAATAATATTTATAAATAATAAATAAATAAACCCAATCCCCTCCTCCCTACCTTGTTACGCATCTACCCAACCTCTCCATATCCCCAAAGGTGGCCCCATCATCCTTCCTCCTCCTTCTACAACTAATCATCACCCCCAACATCATCCATTCGCATCCAAACCCACCACAAGCCATGCCCCTATCAGCCTTCCTCCTTCCTTTGCAACCAACCACCACCCACCATCATCCATATCCACCCAAACCAACCACAAGCCTTTCCCACCACAAAAATAAAAATAAATAATAAATAATAAATAAAGAAAGAACAATGCACACATTTGTGGTGGGGATGGGTTTTTGGGTTGCAGGGGCAAAACGCTTGGTGATGAAGATGGTGGCATGGCCTTGGTCTTCAAGATTGGATATGGTATTGTGGATAGGTTGAGTTTGAGACGGATCTAAGATGACGGTGGGTTGAATCCTCAACGAATATGAAGTTTTGGGTTGTCGGATAAGGAGAAAGAGAGAATGGTTGGCTTGGGGGGGTTGAGTCGTTGGGATGGAGGCCCTTCCTCTCCCCTCTGCCTTGAAAGCCCAACCTACCTTTTACACCATCATCATCAAAATCACAATCATGAAGGACAATCATGATCTAGGCAATATTTTAAGGCAATTCCCTATTACAAGGAGACCAAATTTTATAGATACTAGGTACGAAGGGATGGGGTGGGATGAGGGAGGAGATCTGTTACTTAAGACAGTGAAGGGGTGGCGAGGTGTGGAGAAGACGGTGTTGCTGGTTTTTTAATTTCCTGTTAATTTTTTCATTTTTTTTCCTTCTATTAATAATAATTTAATTAAGTTTTTGAAAAGAAAATCTTTCTTTTATTTTTTTACACATGGCACCTCCATGGAATCCAATTCAAAAAAATTGTGGGTCTCATTCATGCCACGTCGACATTTTTAACAGAGCTTTGATTGACTTGACGGTGGGGGGTAAATTGAGATGCAAAACATTGGTCAATGGGCAAAGTGGGCCATTTTAACTTTTAGAGAGTAAAGTGAGATTTGACCAAAGTTTCAAGGGCACTACAGTAAATAAGCCTAAAAAAAACATCAATCTTCGTCAACATATACTGCACAACCATGCCTCCTGCTAAAAACCTCAGTACTACAAACACAAAAATAAAAATAGAAATAAAACCACAAGTACAATACACCACCACAAGTAAATTAGTAACTCTTTGAGGGACATTCTCGTCCATAATCTCCTATATAAACTCTCAAGTGTTCACTCTCATCTCATCTGTAAGTGCAACTCTACCTTGAACTGAGAGCTGAAGAAAGAAAAAAGGTATAGAAAAGCAATTAATAAGAAGATGATAACAGCAGAAGATTTCTACAAAGTCACCTGTGCAATTGTCCCGCTATACTTTGCAATGCTGGTGGCCTACGCCTCTGTCAAATGGTGCAAAATATTCACACCGGAGCAGTGCTCCGGCATCAACCGCTTCGTCGCGGTTTTCGCCGTTCCGGTGCTGTCTTTCCACTTCATATCCCAAAACAACCCTTATCAGATGGACACCAAGTTCATATTGGCTGACACTTTCTCTAAGCTCTTGGTCCTTGCTTTGCTCTCACTTTGGGCAATTTTCTTCAAGGCAGGAGGGCTTGACTGGCTTATCACTCTCTTCTCACTGGCCAATCTGCCCAATACACTGGTCATGGGCATCCCTCTGCTCAAGGCCATGTATGGTGATTTCACTCAATCCCTCATGGTTCAAGTGGTTGTGCTTCAATGCATCATATGGTACTTTTCTTTTTAAGGCAAGTTTATTTCTTGTTTAATTTGTGAATAAATAAATAAATATTTAACCAGTCTCACTCGATCTCGGGCAGGTACACACTTTTGCTCTTCCTCTTTGAATACAGAGCAGCCACACTACTCATCCAAACCCAGTTCCCGGGGCCCACCGCCGCAGCCATAACAAAGTTCGAAATCGATGACGACGTTATCTCCTTAGACGGCCGAAACCCGCTTTGTACGGAGTCGGAAACCGACGATCACGGCCGTATCCGGGTCCGCATCCGACGCTCCACGTCATCAGTCCCTGGCTCCTCAGCTCTATCATCCTCCATGGGTCTCACTCCCAGACCATCAAACCTTTCCAACGCCGAAATTTTCTCAATCAACACACCTCACCATGCAAACCATGACTTCACGTTGGGGCATGGTGACGTGGCGTTTGGGTATCGATCCGCAAGCCCTCAATTTTCCACCGGGTACGCGTCCTCTGACGCGTACTCTCTACAGCCGACGCCACGTGCGTCGACTTTTAATGAAATGGACACGACGACTGTCGCCACCACGGCCAACACTCCGGTTTGGGGGAGGTCTCCTGTGGCCGGAAAGTTTTCCCAGCAGCCTTCGCCGGCGTTTAGCGGCGTGAGGATGGTGTGGGAGTCGCCGGTGAAATGTGAAAGTGGGGATCAGATACAACAAGGTCGCAAAGAGGTTGGAGGTACGCATGTGCATGTGTAGATGTAGACTTGTCGTGTAGTATGGTATGTCTTTTTACGCTTTATGTTGTGAAGGGGACAAACGGTGTCGTTTTGTGTGATGAAGAAGAACATCAACGAGACATGCAGCTTTTTCAGGGAGGATATGTACGCTTTGTCCTCTAGTAGAGTAAACAAAAACAGCTAATGCAGAGTGTACAGATATAATCAATTAATCCCTACGTGAAAAGATAAATAATTACACAAATTTTACAAATCTTTGGGTATATATTGTTAGTAAAAAGACTACAGAAACTAGCCAAGGAGTCTAGCCTGGTGTAAAAAGGACATTGATTTGTATACCAGAGGTTTTAGGTTGGCTTTATAGTTGTGTGTCTGTGAGAAATCTCTAACTCCTGTAATTTAAACTGCCGATTATACTAAAACAAACAAACTAGAAACTAAAATATCATTGTTTCTACGGATAATTATAATATCACAAATCCAAAATATAATTGCATCTAGAGGGTAGAGAAATAAGTTAGAATCAAGCAAGATTAATGGTTTGATTTTGCAGAGTTCCAATGTATTAGAATCTCCCTCTCTAATATAGCTTATATAAATTACATGTCGACCTCAATTATTTGATTATGTATGATGATATTTCCCTGTGAAAAAAGTCTTCAACCTCAAAGGAGACATGTGGTGTCTCCACTCAAAGCCTAATTCAAGAGGAAAGTATTAAAAATTTCCCTAAACCAATTGACACAAAGTCATCTCGAATTTCTACTTATATTATGCTTAGTCATCAGAACGTTCATTGATAGGTGCCATCATTTGCTTGAGAGCACGTGTGTAATGATAAAGGGGAGCTATTTGATTACTTAATCTTGGTAGTCATGGTAAAGAATCCTATAAATCATAACGCCCAAATCATGCTCACCCAAAATTTTCAGTTTCTAATTATGTTGTCTAGTTGTGCTTCGTAAAAGGAGGAGCATTACTTTCTAATATAGTAATAGAGAAATATGTATCACTAAATGGTATAATCTTATGTCATGATACTATTAATCTGAATAGTTTAATTCTTTAACTAAATATGGGCTTAGTCAAGTTAGCTAAAGTAGATATGCTCTCCATTCTGCATCCAAGTTCGAATTCTGTTCCCCGTAATTTAGATTAAATTAAAATAGAATATCGTTTGTTTTATAAATTATAAATAAATAAATAAAGAGTTTATTTCATTATTGATTATTTTCTCAAACTATTCATTTGGATCCTATCCACACACAAAAATATTAAACATGTTCATATATGATTTTATAATTCTAATTCTAAATGAAGTTTGTCAACCTAACAATTTAATCAAATAAATAAAAATATTTGTGAATTAAACTTATGTGAATCATCATTGATTGTTTTTCACTCTCTTTGTTTCAGAGAAAGAAATCAGCTTCAGAGACTGCACCAAAATCCCAATGCCAGAGGAGGCAGATACGAAGGCCGCAGCAACTAATCAAGAAATGCCAAGTGCCCTAGTCATGCTAAGGCTTATACTAATCATGGTTGGAAGAAAGCTTTCCCGCAACCCAAACACATACTCAAGTGTCTTAGGCCTTGTCTGGTCTCTCATCTCATTCAAGTGAGCTATATAAATATATACCATAAAGTCTTAATCATTCTCGTTAACAGCTCTTTTATTATAACTTTCATCCTAAGCTAAGCTATGCCATTCATGATCGTTTTATTCTCTTTAATTTTTCAGGTGGGATGTGGGGATGCCGAATTTGGTGAAATATTCCATAAAAATAATATCCGATGCAGGACTGGGGATGGCTATGTTCAGTTTAGGTATTTCATCTCGCATTGCTCAAAACATACGTGTATTACGCAAATTAATTAGCTCATCATTTAATGTGACAATTGACGTATACTTATTATATATATGAATTATTACAATTGACTGTTAACACATCAATTGTCACATCATCATTTCATTATAGAGCATAAAACAAATTTTTAGTTTTATTTTCTAAATTCTATCACAGGATTGGATTCCATTGCACTTTCATATGATGAAACATTGATGTTTAGGGTTTGACTTTTGAAAATGGCAATAAATCGTTATGAATGAATGTTGTAGGGTTGTTCATGGCCCTTCAGCCTCGGATTATTGCGTGTGGCACGAAAAGGGCAACAATGGGGATGGGGATCCGTTTTATTTGTGGGCCTCTTCTTATGTCTGCTGCCTCTGTCGCCACTGGTCTAAGAGGAGTAAAACTTCATGCTGCCATAGTTCAGGTACTGTCGTTATATATGGATGAATAATTGGAGAAAATTACATGAAAACCATTGAGCTATATAGGTCGCTAGGTATTGTCACCTCAATTAAAGCTTTGTTATTACTTACGGCTAACTCCGTTCTCCTTTTAGATCAAATTTATCGTCCAAGTAACATTAATGTCACCTTAATCTTTCATGCTGATATGAAATGTTGAATAATTGATGATTTGATCAGGCAGCGCTTCCACAAGGAATAGTACCATTTGTCTTTGCTAGGGAATACGGGCTGCATCCTGACATTTTGAGTACAGGGTAAGTTCCTTTTGTTCTCATTTCTACTTCATCTTCATACATTGATTCATAATTTTATTGTATAAAACTGTAAAACTATTAGCAGTATAAAATATTTTGTGAAAAAGTCTTATAGGATTCTGCTTAGCCAAAAAGAGAGAAAGGGGGAAAACAAATCTTTGGGTGCTATGAAAAATCTTGAACCAATTATTATGGTTTTCCCTTTATTAAGGTGGTGAAATGTAAGTAGGCTTTTGCTAGCTTTCATTGTGTAGCCCAACCTTCAAACCAGACATTAAAGAAAAAGGAAGTTGAAAAGATTTAAAAGACAAGAACTATAAACTAGTTTATTAAGAGAAAAATCAGCAATCTTCTAGTTTTCATCACTTCCCTCCTCCCAATTTCATTCATCAACGGGTCATGTGGGGGGGGGGCAATGGTACTGTATACCAAAAGTACCTACTTGATTGTTGTTTCACCTAGTCAAATGTTAATGTTGGTTCGATGCATAGTCTGTGAGTAGGAGCAATGTTATGGACAGTCGTCTAAGGAGAGTGGTCCACCTATGTGGTCAGTGTCCTGAACACTGTCATAATGAGTAGTTGTTAGCCGTTAGTTGATGTGAACCCATCATGATTAACTTTAAACATTGTTTGATGTGAACAATTCTATAATGGGCTTCGCATAAATCATTGACTAAGAATGTCCCTCACGCGTGCATGGATACCAATTATAAGAAGTCTACCGGAAATTAATGTTAGTGGCATTGTATTTCTCTCACACACTCAACCACTTAACTTTAATGGAAAAAAAAAGTCGGAGATACTAATAAGGCAAGACTTAATCCAAAAAGTACTTATAAACAAAATTAAACAAAAACTTATTTGCCTCCAACTTCTGAAAAACTATCTTTGATAAAATTAGACACACACTTAGTTGATAAAATACATAATTATTCATTCAATATGCTAATTGCAAGAAATATTTATCAGCTATCCCCTTGTTTTGCAGGGTTATTTTTGGGATGCTAGTGTCCTTACCAGTAACGCTCCTCTACTACATACTTCTAGGGTTGTATTAATGGAAAAACAAGAAGATGATAATAAAAAAGAAAAAGTCTGCATTTTCAGCTAAAGCATATGAACTGAATCGTCTAAAGGCCAAAGTGTTATGGGCAGAAAGGAATGCTCTCTGAGGTTTGGTGTCATAGTAGTACATAGACTAGTGGTGGCCGAAAGGAAGATGGAAATCATGGCTTATGATTAAGGTAGGAGACTTATTTTCTTCTTGGGGTTGGGTAAAGTTTCCCCGACCAAACCATGTATTTTGACTCGAGAAAAAAGAAAAGGAGAAGAAAAAGGCTAAATCATGTTGTTCCTACTATTATTCTTTTTTTTCCCCTTTAATATTTAAAGCAATTATCGTACAATAGTTCTTGCTTTTTTGGTAACAACTTTTATATGTGAAGTCAATTAGACAGATTTGGCTTACAGTTTAAGCTTGTCTTAGAGATATATATAGCATGATCATGACCATGATTATATCTCTTGTTGGCCCAAATGCAAGTGCCAAGAAGATTACATGGCAAAAGCCTATGACTCTATGAGTTATGACCCAAATCTGTATCATATGTGTGTGTGGTGGTGTTAAAGCTAGCCTTGTTGCATTCTTGAGACAGAAGTCTTGAAACATAATTATTGGTCGGTTTTTAATCTATTCAGTAGTCGTATATACTGCACCTGAAAAATATGTTCTACTCATCTCTCACGCCTTCATGTTTGACTTGTATTTTGATAAGATCCAATTGGCAAACAAAATGTCAAACGGCCCTCAATAATCAATTAGATATTTATTTGGTCATGGGGTAAAATCCACTACGGGTATGAGAATGATGATCTTTATGAATCGAAGAACTTAAGAATTTGGGAATAAGGAATTAGAATCGGATCAACTCCTCCTCCTAGTAGATCTGATTCCTAGTTTTGAAGATATTTGATTAGAGATTTTACCAGGAAACTCTCATAACTGGAATTATTCCAATACTTATGGGTTAGTAAACACAAGGGAAGAAGGAATTGAAATAATTTTGATACCCATTACTAATAAATAAACATGATAGTGAAAGTGACGTCTTAATTTTGCTTTGAAATAGTGTTTTATGATTTTACAAATAAACTATCTACACTTTTAATTATTATATTATTGAATATATTTATTTAATAGATATTTTCTTAATTTGAAAATTTTACTTTGATTAATGGAATGAGAACCTAATCTTTGATGGGGAAATCGCACTTGATTGAAATTGATAAGTTTTAGGGGATGTGGGTGGGGAAGGGGAGGGCAAATTTGATCCCAAGTAGAAAAACTAGTATGAAATAGGGATAGTACTGTTTTGCTATCCTCGATCAATCATGTTATGTCAAGTGAAAAAGTTATCACGCGCGACATAATTTGATTAATTAAAAATAATAAAACAATGTTATTCCCGTTGCACGTAAGCGTTTCTCGTCCCGTTGCTATCCCTATCTATCTGTGTACCTTCCTATAGCCTACTCCAGTGAGGAGCAATGGACCCCTTTGCATAAAATTACAGGCTAGGGTTCCATATTCTCAATTGGGCCTAAATCCCTAAGGTCCAATTCTTTTTACACTTTCAAAGGAGATGGACCAGGCTTGGATGGGCTTTTATATGCACAGAAAAGCTCTTTTGCTGAAAGCTGGACGTGGAAGAATGTTTGAGGTAATTTTCAGGCAATGGATCACGTTTACCACTCCAGACTACATGACCACTGACCCACTCAGACTGTACGCACTACTAGTTATTTGTGGTCTAATGATATTTCTCTTTACTACGTGGAGGAAGATCCTAAATTCTATTTCCTCTTTCGTTAGATATTTTTTTCTTGAATAATTTTTTAAGGAAACAGGATTTGTTTTATTTACTGAAAATAAGGGGTGTGTAAGTATGTCGACATCGTGAGTAATGTTGTACAAATAAAAGCAACGGACTCCCAAAATGCAAGGCCACGATTTGAAGAAACTGATAAATAAAGTGATGAAGGAAACTGGCCAAACTGCAAGAGAAGGGAAATTGCATCCGTTGAAAAGAAAAGGGGAAGGAGCAGAAAATTACAAGGAGGAACAGAAACAAAGCTCAGAAGATGGAGATTTCTTTGAAGAGAAGACCAAGGAGAACAAAACTGCTGCATCTGCATAGTCAGAAGTTTGATTTCTTTTATCTTCTTTGCTATTAATTCTCTGGTTAAATTGTTTTTCTTATGAATTTTATGAGCTCTCTTGGCTAAAACTAAGATGGTATCTATCTTCAATTGAATCTTTATTTTGATTTAATTAATTAATTAATTATTTAAGTTAAATTCCAAGTTTACCAAAAATATATCCAATTTTTTATTATTGAATTATGTAATTAAGCTATAAGTTTAGAGCTACCTCTCTATATTATTTCACATTCTTAAGCATGTTAATTTAATTTAATTTGGATTAGCCTTGTCAATTATAGGTTAATTTCATTTACATGATGTACCAATGGCTGAATTTGAATTGAAATTGAAAAAGAATAAAATAGAAATTTGTTCTAACAAATTATAGTTTGTTTGTATCTTCAATTTTTCGGTATGCAATCTATTAGGCCTTTTATGTGTATGTATATATTTTAGAGAATATGTATTTTATATTTTTAAGCCCAAGCTACAAGTAATTGCATTCTCTTAGTTTTCATATAGGAAGAATAATTCCTATTATTGTTTTGTTAATATAAACAAAAGATTGCTTGGAAAAAAAATGCTATAAAAATTTTGTTTGAACAAAAATGATAAAAGAATTGTTTCGTTAATGTGAAAGTTCCTTTGTTTACAATTATCATTAAGCCAAACATTCTGAAATGAATCGTATTTGCAAATAAATAAGAAGCAATTCCTACAAATCACAATCACACATATGTGTAGTAACTTTTCTTTTAGGAGATTTTAATAAATTATTTTTGCATATGTGTCACGTTGATACTTAAATTTGATTCAAGAGTGGGATGATCTTTTCGACATCTAGGTCACGCAATTTTTTCGGACCAGGTCAGGAGGGTGACATCGGTGTGGTATTGGCTAAAAACCCTCTGATGTTTAAGTCCGGTATTGGCTAAAAACCCTCTGATGTTTAAGTCAGTCGAGTATTTGAGAGCAAAGTATACGATAGTTTTAGTGTTTAGAATTGCATAACTTTGAGAAAAGGTCGTAAAACCTTTTTGATCAAAGTCATACTCTAGGACGATCTATTCCTCCTTGGACTATGACTCCCTATAGGTAGACGTGTTTAGAATTGCTCAACTTAGCCTAGCCACTGAATCTCGAGCTTAGCTTGACGACCAGGCCTCGAGTTGAGCTCGATCATTTGAGTTTTAGACAAACTTAGCCCAGAAGTATTTTACTCAACAACATATCAGATTGTCATTTGTTTGTAAGAAATTACGAGTAAAAACTCAAGTAGTGTTCTTTGCAAATTGCTTGCTACCGGAGTATGACTATGTTGTATAATTGATATTTTCCATTTTTAAAATATATCTATGTGTTAAAACACACTATCCAAGAATATTATTCAAACACCGCACTATAATTATTGTCTAGAATATGATAAGATAAAGACTTTGACGACACGTAGGGCCCTCCTAAAATGTAGATCAGTATACGTTACTTTCCAAAAGAAGGAAAAACCAGAAGAACCAAGGCCACGTTGCAGTTCCTACAGAAACGAAGGCGCCGCTGGAAATAAGCCAAAACAGAAGCGGTCATATACCACTAGAGAGCAGTGATATTTTTATTTTCTCTATAGAACTACAGTTGCGCAAGTTGAATTATTTTTCCATTTTGTCCAATCCAAAAGTGGTTTTCTCTCCACACACCCACGGACACACAGAATTAACGTTTGGGCTCCAATCCGAGAAACAACCCTTGGATGGAAAATGGTTTTATCGTACATTGAATTTCGACTTTCGTGTTCATCACAAAAAAATAATAATTATTCTCCACTTTCTTTAGCGGTTGTCAAAATCACACTATAAATAGTGCCTTCACATTCTCACTTTCCCACATCCAAAAACAAATACTTTTGATCGTAAATTAACAGATAAACATCACAAAGTTCTGATACAATGTCTACAGCTGGTCAGGTTATCAAGTGCAGAGGTAAACCCAGACCTCTTGCTCTCCTTTGTTAGATTGTTCTGCTCATTTCATTCATTTTTATAGAATCCCATTTATGTTTTTTGTTTTTTTCAGTTTTTCATTTTTCTGATCAAGTTATATTTTTGGTTATACCCTTTGTTGGGTTCTCTGTTTCTGATATTTTTTTTTAGTGGTTCCAATAATTGGGTCTGGTTTGTTGAGTCTTAGCTGATTTATACCTTTGTTTCTGGTTACATATCTTGTTTTCTTTTGTGCTTTTACATGATCCTGGTGGTTTTTTTTTCTTTTAACATACAGATGCTTGATCTTTTCCTTTATTTCTTCTCTCTTTTAGTTAAAGTGTTTTATAAATCAATTAATGATGATGATTGCCTTTTGATCTGGGTTTTCTTGGATTGGATTTGATGGGGATGCCAATTTCAGTTTGGAAAATTTCTAAACTTGACTGAACATAAGAAAGAGACCATAACTTTTTGGGTCAATTGTCTTGCCAGGGGACTGATCTTCTAGTTGGTTAATAATATTGATTAAATGGATGTATTGTTTACTAATTGCATTGGCATTTGTGGATTGTAGCTGCGGTAGCATGGGAAGCGGGGAAGCCACTATCAATTGAGGAAGTGGAGGTGGCACCACCACAGAAAGAAGAAGTCCGCTTGAAGATCCTCTTCACCTCTCTTTGCCACACTGATGTCTACTTCTGGGAAGCCAAAGTAAATTTTTATTATACTTTTACTGGCATTGTGTTGAACTATATCCATATCATGATGGCAAAAGAGAACGATTTGGTTATAATCTGCCTAATTGCTCACCATTATTAAGCATGATTGAGCATCTGTTTATTATTTTGGTAACACATGTTTCCCCTCAAATGAAACAACAAGGGGCCTCTCCTGTACATGTCATTTTCTTTTGGAACTGAATCGTCTCTTTTATGTCACAGGGACAACACCCACTGTTCCCTCGCATTTACGGTCATGAAGCTGGAGGGTATGTTTGCTATATTTTGAGTTTCCCTTGTAGACAGAGTATTTTTAGTTTCCTAAATTTTGCTTGCTTGGCAATTTTTTGTTTAGAATTGTGGAAAGCGTAGGTGAGGGTGTGACTGATCTCCAACCAGGAGACCATGTCCTTCCGGTGTTCACGGGGGAGTGCAAGGAGTGCAGGCACTGTAAGTCAGAGGAAAGTAACATGTGTGATCTCCTGAGGATCAACACTGACAGGGGTACTATGCTCAGTGATGGCAAGTCCAGGTTCTCCAAGGATGGAAAGCCAATATATCACTTTCTTGGTACCTCTACCTTCAGTGAATACACTGTATGTCATGTTGGTTCCGTCGCCAAGATCAACCCTGCAGCCCCTCTTGAAAAAGTTTGTGTTCTTAGTTGTGGAATATGCACAGGTTTGAAAGACTTCTCACATTTTAATGGTTACAATCTTAAATAAGATTAGTGGTATCTTTGTTTTTGTTTTCCCTAATCAATTTCTGTTTTGTGCATTTAAAGGTTTTGGTGCCACTGTGAATGTTGCAAAACCCAAAAAGGGTTCATCTGTTGCCATTTTTGGACTGGGTGCTGTTGGTCTTGCTGTAAGTCATTCTTATGTTTTGATCCTCTGTTATGGCGCTTCCTGCTAGTTTGGATTATCATGATGATTTTTCTTGTTCATTACCTTGTTACTTTTTAGGCTGCTGAAGGTGCAAGGGTTTCTGGGGCTGCAAGAATCATTGGAGTTGATTTGAATCCCAACCGATTTGAGGAAGGTCAGTCTTTTTTAAATATCCATCCAAGGACTTACTGTGCTTCATGTCCGGTTCAGATTAAGTTGTCATCGACTGATTTATCTTGCTTTTTTGTACTCACTGGCAGCCAAGAAGTTTGGCGTGAATGAATTCGTGAATCCAAAAGATCATAACAAACCTGTGCAAGAGGTTAGTTACAGACTTTTTTATCCCTTCACCTGTTGAGGAATGACCTAAAGTTGCCCCTTGTCTTCGTAATATATTTACAATACTGATCTTATTGAAGCCAAATAATGCAGAACGACTTCTCCCTTGTGTACTTGATAAGCTTTTGATTATTGGTTAACAGAGACATTTGGACTTTTATGTTGGTGATTATTGGTTAGCAAAGACTTAACATGTGAATTTTGACAAAAAAGGTGATTGCTGAAATGACCGATGGGGGAGTGGATAGGAGTGTTGAATGCACTGGAAGCGTCCAGGCGATGATTTCTGCATTTGAATGTGTTCATGATGTAAGCAATTATAAAAGTTGTAGGTTGTTTCATTTGATAAGATATTAGAATATGCAACCACATTGCTTTTGAGGTTTAAAATTGAACTCTCCTTCCTCTCTGACTTTAGGGTTGGGGCGTTGCTGTACTCGTTGGTGTGCCTAGTAAAGATGATGCATTCAAAACCCATCCAGTGAATTTCTTGAATGAGAGGACTCTTAAGGGCACCTTCTATGGTAACTACAAACCCAAATCCGATCTGCCCGGTGTTGTGGAGATGTACATGAATAAGGTAAGTTTGTATTTCCTTTCAAGCATGTTTGTGAATAATTTTCAAACCTACCAAGAACTTTGCTTATTTAAGTATATGTGTTCTTAGATGGACAATATTTAAGGTTGTGTTCTTTGACTGTTCTAGTTGTTTGAGGACAGTTTTAATTTTCAATCTGATGTTGTAAAACTCTACCTTGTGTACTGATCTTGCAGGAGCTGGAAGTGGATAAATTTATCACTCACTCGGTCCCATTCGCTGAGATCAACAAAGCATTTGATTTGATGCTTTCAGGACAGTCCATCCGGTGCCTCATTCGCATGGAGGATTAGAGCAACTAGGGACTTGTTACGTGTTAATGGGCAGAATTTATATATCTATCTGATGTCTTTTGACTGAAAGAGAGTGAGACTCCCCTACAGGAGTCGAACGTAATAAAGGAGTAGTCTTTTCTTAGTATTTGTTGTTTTGTTTCCTTTTGTTGTTTGTACGGTACCCCTAAAAGAACAAGTAAAC